AGCAGAACGGAGCCCATTAATGTTTTTGAAACCGCCCATTCCTGCCAAATTCTTTTCACTCAGTTTTTGACCCACCCAGAAACGCATAGCAAAAATGAAACCCATTTTTGTGACCCTTGTATGGAACCCTACAACAAGCAACAAACCATTTCCAAAAAGCGCGGCATGATCTGAAACACCTCCCTTGTAAGAGCATGGTATAGTGTTGCGACAAGTCTTGCGCCTCCTGCCACTTGTAGTGAGCGGTGGCCGTCTCCATGGCGTTCGTGTCGTAATATGGCAGCCGTATGGGAGGAGGTCGGAAGAAGTCGCGTCTTCGGATTCTCGCTCGGAGACGAACTTTTGCTTTAACCAGCCTATGGTCGCTCCCAGTGCGGAATGCATCCACCACGCTGACGTAGACTCCACTTACTGTTAGTGAGAACGTGGTCGATTTCGCTGTGAGTCGTTGCATTCGGACTCTCCCACGTCCATCGTCGATCCTCTTTTTTCGTGAAGAAGCAGTTTCCGTGGAAGAGATAGCATTGCTGTAAGAGGCATGGATGACTGCCTTGAAATCTCCGACAAAATATTTGTAGTAGGACCGTTCCCTTTTTGTCATCTCCTCCAATTCCTTGTGGAACGCGTCCTTTTCTTCGTCCGTAGCTGTTGACGTCAGTGCATAGCAGTTGATAATACTAACGGAAGTGCGCTTGTCGATGCTAGACGTAGGATAGCCAGTCGCGGGCCGATCACTTCGACTGAATTGACCATGTGCTCGAGCCGATGGTGGACGAGGAATCCAACACCACCGACATTTCTTCCGCTCAATTTGGCTCCGAAAACAATTAGGTGGCCATCGTTGGCCTTCCTGGTAGCTGTATCTTTTGCTTTTGTTCCCTGGAGAGCGATGACATCGAAACGAAGTATTTTACTAGCCTCCATTAATACGGTCGGCTATCGAAGCAATGGTGCGACAGTTGTAGGTGCAGACTCGTAGACAGTCCCCTTGCCTCGAAGCTTTTCGTCTTGTGCACTCCAAATCGATGTGAGCTTCCGATGCAAGCGTCCGTGCGTTGAAAGTACAGATCGTCATCCTAGTCCTGGGCGACTCAAATCTCCGTTGGCCCTGTGATTCTAGCAGCCTCGTCCGAGCGGTCCCAGCCGACGTCGCCCTGTCGGTGGTTCCCTCAGCTTCAGGGGAATGAGGCCCATAACTGTTACTGTTTTCGGCGATAAGAAGTTTAACCACGCGTAGCTCTCCAGGCTCTGACGTGGCACCCTCCGCATTGGTACGTTTTTGGAACAGTCCAAAACCGTTCACCCCCACGCCACGATGAGGCTGCGGATAGGATTTGTAATTAGTAGTAAAAAACAGTAAAGAATAATTAGTTGAACTAATCTATAACTAAGAATATTGATAAATTTACGTATATCGTAAGTACGCAAATGACTAAGCAGTACAGCTGATACGCTGCTTCGCTGCGAACGATGGGGCGTGTCCGCGCGTTTGGAGCAGCGCCAACCTGTTTTTTCTTTCGGCAAACGACGGAACTATCTTTCTAGAGGTCTATGAACTGGTGCTTCCGGGAGTGGTTCACAGACTTCTCCTCCATAACCAGTTACAACGCCTTCGTATAAAGAAGGGGGAGAGAAGTTTCAAAGAGCACACATAGGCGCTCTCCCATGTGTCGGTCAACTAATGACAAAACTGCTTACCGAACTATTACTGTACGAACAGAGTAAAGACTATTATTTGTGCTTCTGGAAGAGTCAAGTGCAGTGGCTAAACAGCGAGTTGATTCGGGCGAACTGAGTCGATCAGAGCCAGGGTAATTGGGGCCCCTGGACCAGTTGCCTCTCAGGTAGAAGCCACTCAAGTGCGAGCGGTCCTGCTAATTTAAAACCGTGCTGTGGCAGGTAACAGTAGTGGTAAACGGTTCAATAGATGGTGAAGAGACTGCAGTTTGTATGCTTGAAGAGCTTTTCTTAGACTGCAAGACAATGGCTCGAAGACAGGGCTGCGTGAGACTTTGGCAAGTTTTGCGCATACTGAAAATGTTTGAATACATAACTGGGGTATAGCCTGCGAATTGAGCAGGCGAGCGGAACGGAAAAGCAGCGCATTTGTCCACTTGTTCAAAAGCTGGGAGGGAATAGAAGGGTTTTGGTGATCTGTTAACTAAGACTTTTGTTCTGCCATGCAATTGATAACACTGAGCTTATCAAAGAACTTTTATAATATTAAATGGGATTAGTTACAACTAATGAGCCCATACCGCTCTGGCGAGCCGGATGGATATGTCGTTCCTGCATTCTCTCTTCCGAAGTCCGACACGCCATCTCGTCGGTGAAGAATCGTACGGCACCCGGTCCCGACAGGCATCAGACCCGAACATCTGAAGAATCTTCCGCCAGTCTCGTCAAAAACTCTGGCTCGACTCTTCACGCGCTACCTGTCGCGAATCGCAAGGTACCCACCCTCGTGGAAACCAGCAAGACCGTGTTTGCGTACAAAGAAGGGAGATCTGTACGACATTGGCAATTATCGCCCAATCTGCCTGCTGCTCTGTAGTCTAAACTCTTCACACGAGTCATCCTGAACAGGATTGGCAGAACACTAGACGAAGGACAGCCATGCCGAGCAAGCAGGGTTTCAAAAGAGGATTCAGCACGATCGATCACAATCCACACGGATAACGAAGCTCACTGAAGTATCGCGAGAGTACAAGATGCGTTATAGTTCACGTTTATCGACTTGAAGAAACGCCTTCGACTCCGTTTGAGACAGAAGCGGTCATCGAAGGCCCTGGGCCAACCAGGGTATTCCTACTCAGTACATCAGGATTCTTCGTGAGCTCTAACAGCAACTTCACGACCCAAGATTTCGCCATTCTCACAAGCGAGATCATCATTGATGTGAAGAGAGGGGTCCGACAGGCGACATCATCTCGCCCAAGCTCTTCAGCGCCTCTCTCGAGAACGTCATGCGTCAATTGAATGCGGAAGACATGGGAGTGAAGATCGACGGTCGGCAACTACACCATCTCCGCCTTTGCTCGACGACATCTTTTTGATAACCGCAAACATCGAGCAAGCGGAACGAATGCTGGCCTGATTTCGACTGCGCGTGGCGAAGAATCGGTCTACAGCTGAAACCTAACGAAGACGATGTTCAATGAGAAACGGTTGGTATTCTGATGCCCCATTCACACCGCTCACACGGAAAGACCATCTCTGAATGCTCTAGCTATGTGTAACTAGGTCGTGCAAATCAATATGCTGAATGACCTAGCTCCAGAGCTGAGCAGGAGGACGCGAGCGGCTTGGGGAGCTTCAAGAACATCGAGGGAGTAGCGAAGAAGACGAAGAACACCAAGCTCCGTGCCCACCTCTTCGATTCCGCCGGTCCTTCCTGCCTTTGACGTACGCCTCAGAGAACTTGGACTCTACGAAAGCAGGATGAACAATGCGGTCCGGTTTTATTCAACGCGCCATCGAAAGGGCGATGCTCGGAGTTTCCCGCTACACGCAGGTGATGAGAAGGAATCCGGAGCTCCGCACTCCGCCAACCGATCGAAGATTCAGAGACGCGTCGCCGCATCTTGCCAAGCGCTTCGAAGATCAGGTGGCTGGACACGTCATGCGTTTCGAGGACGACCGCTTGGACCAGAGCTGTCACCGACTTGGATTCCACCGGGAATGTCAATGCGAACGCCTGGAAGAACGCCTACGCGATGGTCCAGACTTCTTCGTGAAAGCCTCTGAACGAATGCCGTATGAAGTTCATCGTGGTCCCTCGAGCTGAGAGAGTTCATTGCGGCAACTCTTTGCACGTTGCAGGACGAATGGAGACGTTACTGCGCGCCCCGCTCGAGACTCGATGATCAACGGGAGCACAGGTGATACAGGGTGATTTCTGTAGCACAGAGTAATCCCTATTTTTCAATAAATATAGGGACATGATCGCTTCTTCTTATGAAGCTTGCTTTTATGCTTTTATAGAACTTGTATTCGCTCTCATTTACTCACGAATTAATGTTGTAAGCCGGGGTGGGCCAATATAAGCAATCAAATGGTGTAAATGTAATGAACTCAAGATTGCAAAAGGAAAATAGAATAATGAAATTTAATTTCTATTAATACCTGCACTGGGTTTTTCCCGGCCGTTTGCACCAGAAAATGTGACGGTAGTCGTTGTAGTAATATATTTGTTGAGGAGGGGCGGCCTCGGTGATAGTGGTGGGTCCGAGACGGGTGGTCTCGGACCGTCAGGTAGTAGAATGCTGACTTAATCTAGGGGTGCCTCTCAATACAGGAGAGGTCACGCATTGAGTATCTAACCATTTACCTACGGGTCATAATCACATGTCTCAAGTTTGCCTATGGCTTATACATATTGCCTATGGCTTATACATATCAATCAGTAAGTCATAAAAGGGTGCACCGGCAGGTTCTGTGGCAATCCAGAACATGAGTGCTAAGGTATAAAGAAATTTGATATAGTCCATCATGGTGCCGTCTTTGTTCAAATTCATATCAATTTCGCTGCTACAAGCGAAAATGCACATTGAGAGTTTGCCGCGCATGGCTGCACCACAGGCAACAACGCGACAAATTGCGATCAACGTTTCCCGCAACAATATGCCACCGGAATCGCAGCCGAGTTCAATCCCAGTGAGACATGCCAGCACGCCTATCTCGTCTTCACCATAAAGGCAGTATGCTCCATCAGCATGCTCCAGAAGCAGTGAAGAAGATCATAGCATCGAGGAGATCCGTCCGTTCAATGGTAACAATTGGAATGCGGCGCAATCGGACTGAGCCTACACGTTACAACGTGTACCTGGAAGGAAAGCCAGTTCTTACTAGAGCGCGCTCTGAAAAAATCCGAGCATTTCCTTATAGGCTACTTCACGTATCTCACTTTGCCTATCGGAAAGCGGTGGACCATTGTTGGGCAAAAAATCAGCTTTGCCGGCGTGGTTCATGCATGAGGGCTCTGCGGAATACTGATATATTCACCTCAAAGGGATGTGATTGACACGAAAATGTCTCACCTTGGCTATTTTTTTTTTGTAATACTCCGTGCAAAACCATGGATACTTGCAGATACTTCCGATTGCGACCACGAACTCGCTGAGTGGGGCAACGAGCTTGTTCTTATTTCTGAATCACGTGGGTTTGCATAAAGCTGACGCTATGAGTTCTATAGCACTGAAAAACCGAATACTTGTATCCTATTCGCTTGCATTCTTCCGGTTCTAGTACAGTTCTATTCCTGACTTCTCTCACACAGTGAGCTGCTGTCAGTACGTGGCGGGACGATATAAGAGCCCCACTGCATGTAAAGATCAGTTGCTCAGCTCCTGCAACATCGGTAACATTAATATCCATACAACAGCTACGACCAAGCTCAGAGGGCAGTCAAAAGGAGAACTAAAAAGCTGAGCTTCAAAACGTGCAAGGCTAGCACTTCTGTTGTGGAAAGTGTATTATTTGTAAGGGCTCCGAATGTGCTGGGAGTCAGTGGGTCACCAATATTCGCGATGATGTGTTTCATTCCCCTCTGACCAGTGAATGGCTCCAGCATCCAGTGAATGTTTGAAAAAGATCTGATGATATCAGTACTGTTTGGAGTTCTGGCTACAAATATGGAAATCAAAACTGCTACCCATATCTCATACCAGCTATAGGCGGTTAAAGTTACCCATGTTGAAAGCTTGTCCACTCGGCGCCGCCAGTGACGTGGGTGGTTGGCGCTTTCGCGCTGAAAGATTATGACGTTCGTGATCACAAGGGCAAGCTATTCACTAGTGTGAACTTCTAACTGGAGATAGACTCTGCCCCTAACACCCCTAGACACGCTTCCTTGTGCAGGTGGTCCAGCCCATAGGCTTAGAGATTGTCCCACTTCTACTACTGCACAGTACTCAGTTGGACCGCCTACCCTCTTTGCACTTAACGCAAAGCACTCAGCTGTTATTTGGTGGGGCGGTGGGCAGTAATATCAATTGCATATCCTTTTTGCTTACCGCTCATGCTCATAGGTGATTCTGCTCTCCTCTATTACATTTTCTTCGTTAGGACGTACGGTCAAACGCAATCCATTGACTATAATTTAATTTGTGCAATAGTTCGTCGCACAGGGTTTCCCGAATCCCGGCTAAAGTCGTTTGGACTCCAGAAATTTCGACACCGAGCTCATTTTCAAATTGCCTAAGTCACCAAATCCGCTAAGAACTTGTATATAGGGGTAGTTTAAGATCCTGATTACGAATATGACACTCTCTGTTGTCGCTGGCGATTATTTGCGCCATACTAAGGCTGAGCTCAGGAGGTAATCGTAGTGTCATCCATCAACGCCAGCGCAGGAGTGAATGTCATATTCGTAATCAGGATCTCAAACTACCCCTATATACAAGTTTTAGCGGATTCGGTGAGTTAGGCAATTTAAAGATGAGCTGGGTGCCGAAATTTCTGGAGTCTAAAAGGCATTAGCCCCGAATCCCGCTTTTGCACAAGACGCCTCGAAGGCCATTTCCTGTCACGCTTTGTTTCGCCTCTACACCATTTTTTTCACTTTCAGTAGGTACTTAGCTCTGAGTGACGCCCAAAAACAATTAGTACGTCCAAGGTGCTAGGATCTCGCTTTGCCTCCATGAAACAGCAGGTCCGAAGGGATTCGAACCTGAAGGCTGCGAAGTGTTCACCATAATTTTTTTTGTTTTCCAATTTTCCCATCTTCTGGGGAGTGAGATAGCGGCTAAACGTCCGAGGAACGATACTACAAACAATAGCAATAGCATGTACTGTCTACAGGTTCGTTACTCCTCTCTTTCCTCACTGATTACAGCGCAGAGAGGATATAATGACTTGTTGATTCCTCTGCCTGATACCGTGTGAAACGGAGAATCAAACTGCTTCTGCGAATGCGCTGTTAGAATCACAAGAAAAATTGTACATTTCTCCAAAATGCTTTTGTTAGTAAACCCTAGAACAGTTGCATAGCATTGGTTCCTGCCTCGTAGCGGCCAGACAGCACATATCAGTCTTTTCATCCACAAATCATTCCCTGGAAAAAAATTGCCTACCTCCATATTTAATGGATACAACCCATGGATATTCATTGTCACCTATAGGTCTTCCACCAAATGACAATGCGCTAGTCTCTGAAATGCAATTTTTGATCAAGAAGCTCAGTTTATGTGTATGTAGAGGAACTGTTTATTCAACGTTACCCCGTTTTCGAAAGCTCAACTCTAGGAGTTTACTCATCCGAGTATTAAGTAGTGTTTAATACGTCTGCGCCTGTTGCATGCACATTTGTCAGACGCCGCCATTTGTTCCGATCAACCTCATCTTCCGCAGTGGCATTCAGTCAGGTAAGTACTGCTCGATGACGCCCTTCCATCTTTTCTTTTGGGCTCATCGTGAACGTTTATCCAGTAGTTCAACTTCCATCCTTCCTTACCTGTACAGCATGGGAATGTGCGAAATGGCGGTGTGACTACGACCCCCCCCCCTCGAGGAGGGTCCAGTTGCGATGAGGCATTACCTACAGCTGTGTCTTAGGATTAAAATCGTCGTTCGACAACCATGTATGTCATGCAACTTGTAACAAGGACACAATCGGGACAGCGACTAATGGTGATCATTGGTAAGCTAAATTGGTGAGAAAAATTGTTCCAAGGTCAGCGTGTCAGGCCCCAAATGAGCATTCAACGAATTGTGACGGGGAATTCATGAAAACGTGCACGACACAACAAAGCGAAACATGAAAAATAGAAAGATATGCGGAGCCAAATGAAAAAAAATTGGATAACCAGGCGGCAGTATATCGTTCTACACTTGGCTGTTATCGATCTCAACGCTGATACCGCTTTCATTGGAATAACGTCATTGGAGCGTTGTTGGGCCTGCCAACGTCCTGGGGTCTTTTAGGGGGGTTATATCTCTTTGAGAGGCGAGGCTTTTGATGAGTGGATAGCAGCATGCAACGGAAATGTTCCTACTGTTGCGTTTTCTACACAGCTGCAATCTCAATGTTTCCCCGTTCGTGAAATACTTCGGATGGGTTTCGAATAAGCTAGGGTGAATGGTTTATGTTTTTTTTTAATGTTTTATGCTCCACACGAGGGCTACTTATTCCGAACGCAATTTCATCGGAATTAAAATCGTCTTAAAACGATCTAATCTTTTCTCTTCCCAATAAGCTTTAGTTTTTCCTGAAGACCCGGCTAGCTTCAGGAGATATTTTAATGGGTATCAGACGCGCTACCCACTAATACCCACCCAAAAAAATCCACTCTTCTGTCCCTTTGTGAGGATACATTTTCGGACACTTCAGTGTGCATCAGAACACAATATCTCCCTTCGAGTAAAAGAGGAGCTCGGCTATCACTGATCGATTTGGTCCGAGCCGCCGCCGTGCATTACGCTCCTACGCAGAGGTGGTGGAAAGGTGTAAATTCTGATTTCAGGTGCTTTTATCACGCAAGCAGATGTTTGTTTAGGGTTTGGAAGGGACAATACGCACGAATTGTCTGAGATTATTATTCAGTCATCTACGTACTTACGAGTCATGCTATCTTAACTTGATGTTCATTTATTATATTATTTCATTTATTTATTTATTTATTTAATTTATTTATTTATTTATTTATTATTTATTTCTTGCTATTCTTGTTATATTGCCTAAGCAATTTTTTTGTATTTTGCTAGTTCGTCCTTACATCCGGGTACTTCTGCAGAACTTCCGTATTCCGTTCATTAAACTTAGCAATGGACACTTTTCTTCACTGTTGATGCCTAGCGAGCCCTACTTTGGCGATACTGCCCACGTTCGCCGCGGACCCAGTGACGAACAATTTTTGGGGATTCCTGATATGAAAAGAGGGCCTGTCAAATAGTGCACCTGAATCATGTAAAGAATACACTCATAAATAATTTTTAATTTTTTTTTCAACATCGTTGATCTTCCATAGTTCCACTCCCACTATCAACTGAAGATGTCGGACATGTGTTCCGGCTCGCAATAGCACCCTGAGATATCGACTTCCCCAGCGGCCAAGCTACGACCCCCCCCCCTTATGCGTTTCTCACAACGATGCTGTAACCCTTGCGGTGATGCTCCATCAGCTACTCAGCCTGTTACCAATACAATCGCCAGTCTGCTGTTGCTGTCCAGCGCGACAGGCCAATCTCAGCCATTCCTTCATTTCAACTAGCAGTGCTGCCCAACTATTGTGCTACTGCCAGGAAGGCTACGAGCCAGGCGGAACTTTTAAACATTTTTTTTTTCCGGAGTTTCGCCTGGCAGAACTAATACCTAGCTGCGCTTGAGTGATGTGCCACTGCCAGGGAAGCATACACCAGCCATGAGGGCAAGTTTGCCAAATTTTTTCGCGAGTTGTCCTGAGGTGCAACAACTCTAGTTCACTGCCGCATGAAGCGCGCGTGGTCAGCCAGTACGAGTGGGCCACCTGGTTACAAGCCCGTTTCTCATGCTGATTTTTGAGCGGGTATGCGTCAACAGCTGGTATGGAAACGGGTGATGGCGAACGGTATGATACGGTCTTATCACTTGCTCTCTCCAGCAACTGATGGAGAAAGGGTCCTTTCGTCCACGCGAACTAGAATATAGCGCTGGCTTCAGTGATGCAAAGGAGAAGTCTTCTCACCTTGAGAAAGCACGGGTATGAGTTCGAGAGGAGCTGGCGAGGAATGTTCCATTCGACTGGTACGGGTTTTAAAGGTCTGCGACACACCGTCACATGCACTCTCTGTAAATTTACGGTAGCGAATCTTGCTACCCTTTAGGAACGTAAATCACATATGGCATTTTATCGTTAGACCAGATGCATTTTACCGCTGCTGCGAAGGTGACTGCGACCCCACTATCAAACCAGATCCAGTACCATCAATGAGCTAGATGTCAGTTGGTGAACCATTTGGATAAACTGGTTGTGGCAGGAGAATGTGGGAGACTAGTCACCGGAAGACACCTAATCAGCTACCAAAGTGAAGAGAAAGAAGCAGAATTAGCTCACCGCCACTTTCTCTGAACATCAAACAGCGCAGTCCTCATCGTCAGGAGAATCTCAACGTCACCGGACGACAAAACTTGCCAGATTATACCTGACTAATTGAGTACTGAATTTGGTTTCGATTTCAGCACCAGCGTGTTTGTCATCACATCCAGAGCGGCAGAAGATGCACACCTTTTATCAAGTGCGAGGTAATTGGTTCCGCGGTTGCAGTAGCGAGCCACTTTCTCCGCTCACTCCACACGCGCTTTCCACAAGGTGCAGCACCTGAGTCGATTTCGAGGTCCCGTAGCGAAACATGCGCGAGAGGCAGAGAACAATCAGAAGTCAGCTGGCCCATGTAGGAGGGTTTTGGCCATAGTGGTGTGGTTGGTCGTACTGTAACGCGGCCCCAGTCCAAGGCGGTACTCGGGCACCACTTCCCTCAAGCGTTCACAAAAACTAAATTTCTTCAATTGCGCCAGCTTTATGTTTTTCTCTGCCTTTCCTGCCTGAGGCGCTCAGTGGCCACTCTGACCTTTAACATTACAACTTTTTTTACGCATACTGAGTGTTGTCTCATCCACCCCGGTGCCTCCTCCCTCCGAAAAAAACTCATCTCCTGGCGCGCGTCGTGTTTTTTGTACATCACATGCCATGGCAGTTGCAGTCCTTCAATGCTCTGCGCTCTGGCCTGTGGCGGCAGGACCTCCCCCACACCAGAAGTTCCAGTTGTCACGTAACCCCCTCAAGCCCGGTGCCTGGCCTTTTGAGCGAAGAGAATGTTACACTGTTGCAGTTGCGCACCCCCTCACCATAGCAAGGACCGCGGACCCACGAAGTAGGGTTTGCAGTTTGTTTTCAGCGAGGAATAGACAGAAAGGTAGTTCGTTGTATTGCTGAACTCACTGCGTTCTGTTGCTCCACAGATCGCCTTGATGTGATCATTTTCCTCCGGAGTAATTCTTCTTGAAAGCGCAAATGGGATTAGAAACAACCAGAGCTTCACTCTCATTTATTCCCTTAATTAGTGAAGATATATGGATGAAAGCAACTCTCCTGGTATTCATGCAAATTGTATTCGGAACAGCAATCGGATGTCCATAGAAAGAGTAAGGCAGTAAGACATTGTACAAAAACGTGTCGCATTTTGCAGCATTCGGGGCCCACCACTGCTGTAGCTATCCCACATTGCTCTTCAACGAGGTTACAGCATCACGATGCGTGATGGCGTTGTCAGTACGACTACCCTCCCCCCACTTCTTTCCTCCCTTTTTTGCCTGTAATTATTGGTGCTAAAGAGAAAGGTTAAGGATTACATACGCAATGGTCTACAAGCGCTGGCGATCCCATTGTGATCCCATCGCGGAATTGCGCTGGGGCAGATTTGTTGACGAGCTGGTGCGTCTTATTGGGACTTGAATTTTTTCAGGTTCGCGATTTTTGGTAACAGAAGGCGGTTTTCTAGCATTTTCTATTGCTTTTTCTCATTAGCTGGGTCGACGGCAAATTGTACGGTAGTTGTTGTAGTTTTATCCTTTGATCTCTTGCAAAATCAAAAACATCTCTATAAAGCGGGGTGTTTCCTCTTTTGAAACGCTATTTTCCAGGCGATGCGCTGGTTCTGGAGACATTCTAGATGGAATTTTGATGTGCGAAATTCTGAGTCACTTACAAGCAGAAGAGAAGAAGACCTTGGCAGAGTTCGGCGACGGTGGGCATTTGCACGGTGTTGCACGTTCATTGCTCCACTAGTTCTGGTTTACATGTCTCACTGTGATGACACACTCCGGCACTTGTGAAGCTGGAGCAAGCTCGTCGGGCCATCATGGTAAGACCAGTCTACTCAGGAAAAGGCTCTTTAAATGGGTTGACACGTCGATGGGAAGTAGCAGTGAAGCAAAATGCCCCTCCCCCACCCGTCGATTGAAGAGCTTTCCACCGGTTCCGATACGAACGAACCAGTTTGCGTTGTATTATTCAGTTATCTACGCATTTACGATTTCATGCTCACTATTGTTTGACATTTTGTAGTCCTTCACACATCTTGGTTCTCTGCTGCACTAGTCCCGCTCTGCAAAACGTAGCTTTTCCGCTGTTCGTTACTCACCAACCATGCAATTACAAAGCGCGCCTCCGCCCCCTCCCCTCCTTGGCGGCCAAGGA